ACTACCGTTTGTGCTTTCCAGGAACCGACTGATATTTAGATTGATAAGCCTGAGGGGAGGTAGCCTTAAGTCTTTGTATCTTTACAGCAGCGGCAGGTCGTTTGGTTTCCGTGCCAATTTTAATGTAGCAGTTCAGATTCCCGCCATTGCTATATTATATAGGCTCCTTAGCGGTTAGATAATTTCTAACAGTATATTATTTATTTTCGTCTAAATATTCGAAAAATCTTATTAAAGAAAAAATATTAAAGCATTTTGTATCTAATGACGATATCCCCTTCCAAGGGGATCGCAGGTTCGAATACGGAGAATTCGGAGAGCGCATATGTTTCTTTAATAAGATTTTTCGAATATTCAGGCTGCAAGATAAAAAATAAATATTGTTTAAAAAACAATCTGTGCTTCTATTCAAATAGGGGTTATTACTAACAATAATTGATAACCTATTTTAAATTAATAAATTAAAGCGCTATTACTTCTTTAGAAAGCTTTGTTTATGCTTGGATACGAAAGAGAGCAGGAATATTTCGAGAAATCTATGACGTGAATGATTTCGCCTAAAGACCGGAAAAGCTTCTTCGTGACCGATTCGGTGAAGACACCTGGCATCTGTAGGAATATTGCTATTATTATGCTGCAACCTAGAAAAAGGTTACACAATGAGGAATAACCAAAACGGAGGTTGGAAATGAAACGCTGATCTTTATAACATCATCAAAATAAAATACTCGCCAGCGGCGTGAAGTAGGTAAACCACTGCTAGTGGTGGACTACTTAGACAACATATTACGATATTTACCTTCCTCCCCACGAGGTAGGATGCAGCACGAGGCCAAATTTAATGTGGGGAAAACCGAGCCAGTGGGCTCGGGCAAAAAATTAGACCAGTAGACCCCCCGCACACACGGGATCCTGTATCTATACCCCCCCGACGAGGCTCTGCCTCGTCTGGGTTCCTCTCTGCCCAATGGCAGAGAGTTCGACACGGCAAGAGCTTCCTACGCTGACAGCTAACGCTGACAGCTTAGGCAGCATATTGCTGCCACTTACAATAGTGTCCAACGTATTCGGACATACCTATTAATATTCATAGGCACGGTATATAACATATTCTAAATAAATAAAAAAATAAAATAATAAAACTAATGAAAATCATAAATAAAATAAAACAATAACATATAAACCTTGTATAAAATAAATTAAATAAAAATTAAAAACAATTAAAAATATTCCTTGCACGTAACAAAAACTGTTCCTACCAGAAATACGAACATCACGCCAAAAATCGTTAAATTCAATCTCTTCACTACGAACCTTCGTACGGGCAACACGTGCCCGACTTCTCTCTGTGATACAGCGTGTAATAACAGGGAGTAATTTCTCCCTTTTATCGCATGTACCATAAAGCAGTTGTAACCTAAAATATATAAACAAATTATATGAAATTAACACGTAATTTACAATGTTTTTCTTGTTATTTCTGTACGTTTTATTTCCTATCAAGTATGCTTTTAACTCCGTGAACATGAGGATAATTTCTACGGTTATGATGTGAGTGAACGCCCACAAAATGTTGGTGACTGCAGACGCGCAGAACAAAAAACAAACTGTTCACTGACAAATCTAATGACGGCCCAGGGGAACGCAGGTTCGAACCCTGCCGGAGAGAACATATTTTTCTTTACTGAGATTTCTCGAATATCCAGGCCGGTAGACGAAAATAAATATATTGATTAATAATTAAAACAGAGCGTCTACTGAAATATGGTTATCAACTAAAAATAACGTATAACCATTTGAACCCACTGCTTTGGTAGTAGAGAAAAATGACTTAATGCACAGCTACCGGTTGAACGGTGTGTAAACACTTGTAACTATTTTTATATCTACCGTGAAACATTATATGACAATTATTTGCGAATTTCGACTGAGGAGCTCAGACATAAACGTTAAAATTGGTCAGGAACGAAGGGCTGGGAGGGGTAAGTAAGAAATAATCAAATATAAATAGAGCATGTAAATAATGATGAATTTTGTTCGTCAACCTTTTAACGTCAACAATATTTCTCAATATTACTAAAAAAAACGACCGCCATCTTTTACACAAGCAAGAAAAAAAAAATTATCATTGAACATTTTGCTCTTTGTTGAACTTTAAAAGATGAGTCCATTAAGTTTATCAACAGCGATTTTTTTCTGTTTCACCTTTCAAACAAATATCGGCGGAAAAATCATGAGAATCTGCCCGACTCAAAAATGTTAATGTATTTATCATACAATCATTAACAACGGAACGATACCATTGTAGAGTCGCTGTTTTCTTCATCTTCATATTAAGCACATTTCTATATGCTGGCTTAGAATAGCTACTTAGCAAACTTATTCTTCCATGAGGAACTAAAGTAACAACACAAAAAATAATACATTTCACCTATGAAGCAAATGTAACCGAAAAACGCATCAGTATTTGTTCGACTAAAAATTTCATTCATTCATCGTACAAACATCAACAGCATTATCTGACTATTAGAAATTATTTTCAGGATTTGTGTTACTTCAAGATATGAGCGATCATGGCTTTCGACAAACTTCGTCTCTTTTGTAGGTCTTAGTAAAATCTCTTGCTATCTCTCCTAATGTCTGTTCTACCAACCAATTACACAAGCTCATTAGATACATTATTTGCTGATTTCCTCTGTTCCTCTTGCCTTCAATGTGCCTCGTGAGCTACAAATTCTCCTAGCCTTATTTCCTCATTATATGCCCTAAAAATTACTAATGTCTGCTACTGTTTCGAAGTATGTTTTCTTTACTTAATTAGGTCTATTTATTAGGCAGCACTTTATATTTGTTAAACTTCACAGTGAAATACCGGAATTTTTTGAGATAAGCAATTATCATTATTATATGCTTTACATTTTGGACAAACTGGTTCATCTTGGTTTTTATATCTACAACGTTTGAAGAATTTTATTATTTTTGCTGGATTTTTTTTAAAGCAAGCAGTATCCTTATTAGATTACTTGCTATTCATACCAGCGCACGCATCTTAGTGTTTTTACACAAAACCTTTCGGCCATTGTGTTCTCAGATCTTCCGCCGTCTTATTCCACTAACTGTATACAGACATTTGGTTTAAAGTTCCTAAAGCTCTAAAGTTGGTTCAAGCGTGAACACGGGTTAATATTGGTTCCCTGTCAGCTGCGAGTTCAGTCTCTGACTCTGGCAATGTTGAAAAGTCACATGCTCTGGGCCAGTGAAAGAAACAAACTACTGAAATAAGGGTGAATATGACTAGAGTGTGTTTATTGACACAAAATATACGCTAAATATAGAAATCAAGAGAGCAATGTATTCACATGGATTTAATAAAGTGTTGTGACTACCAGAACTATTCTAGGGGTTGTATACCTGCTATGGTAATTTACCCACGCACGCAGGGACTCTCCCTGCTATAAATAGGAGCAGGTACTGCCTTTTCGAGAGAGAGAAGTTTCCAGCTGTCAGCTCTGATAGTCAGCCCGAAGATTTTTGCTGTAACACTCTCGTTTGTATTACTGTTTCTGTTAAAATATTTGTTTAACTCAATTGCTATCCATGTGTCTATTTCTAGCCCTAACAAGGTCACAACAATACGTAACCTGATCAAAGACAGTATTTCATATTTGCTAATATCGATCGATGATTTACATTATTTACATTATTCAGAGTGTTATCCTCATCTCCATTGCTATATTCACAACGTTTCGGCCGTACTGGGTGATTCTAACCGAAAACTTTCATCCACCTGGGTAGATTGTTCTAGGTCCACGTATCATGCTTCTTCCGAACACGTTATTTTGTCCACCGAGGTAGATTGTCTAGTTTCACGTGCCATGCCTCTTCCGAACACTTTATTTCGTCCACCAGGGTAGACTCTTCTAGTTTGACGTGTCATGCTTCTTCCACAGGTCTCAGTTATTTCCCTTTAACTCAGTTCTCCAAGTTTTTGTTTCACCGCTCCTCTAGCCTGGTATTGAACTCACAAGTCTTTGGGTTTAGACGCCCGATCTAACCAACTCATTTATCCGCTGGGCTATGTGTCCTTGAGGATATCTCTGTATGAATTTCGGGGACTTCTAAACCGAATGCCTGCGGAAGAGGCATGGCACGTGGAACTAGAGCCATAAAATACAAATCAATAATCAATTCATATTATTCCTATTGAATATTATTACACTGGTAATAATATATATATATATATATATATACTAGCCAAATTACCCGCCTTGCTGCATGTCACAGATGTTTTGTAAGAAAATGATGATTGATTTTAAATCATTGTTATAATTTGTGCATGAAAATGATGCATTTCAATATTAATCAATGATACTGCTGATGTGATCTCCATCTTATGATTTCTATATTTTGGATAGGAGTTATTCCATTTTCAAATTTAGATTTAATTTAAATCAAAGGGGGGAAAAATTCAGTGGGGTTTTTTGCCCCTTCGCTGTTCCACTTTGGTCAAAATGAAGTATACTTATCCTAGTGCACAAGGCAATGTAGTTTCAGAATATATGTGGTTACGAGAGGGGGCCTATCACTAAATTCCTAGGAGGAGTTCGATAACAAACAGACAGAGGTTACAACCTTATATATATATATATATATATATATATATAGATAGATAGTTGATGGGCTTTTGATGTTTTATTTCTTATTATCAATGTTTAAATCATTGTCGTTTATATTATATCAGAAATCACAGATCATTATAAATACATAATAAACTTCATATTTCCGAAACTTGGACGTTTTTATTACTATGGTCAGTGGCTTATCTGTTAGTCTACAGAAGCTCAAATGACAAACGTCATTCAAATGAGCCATATAGCTAATTTCTTTTCTCCCAAATTATCCGAATTTCTTAGGTGATCCATTGATATTATTATTGATTTGTTACCCGTTTTTCTTTTGAAACCTTGCTCAATGGAACGCTGCGATAGACATAGAATGACTCAGATAGAGAGATAGATAGAAAGAGGCAAAGCGATTGATAGATAGATAGATAGATAGATAGATAGATAGATAGATAGATAGGAAGAGAATGAGATAGATAGGAACAGAATGAGATAGATAGATAGATAGATAGATAGATAGATAGATAGATAGATAGATAGATACGAAGAGAATGAGATAGATAGGAACGGAATGAGATAGATAGATAGATAGATAGATAGATAGATAGATAGATAGATAGATACGAAGAGAATGAGATAGATAGGAACAGAATGAGATAGATAGATAGATAGATACGAAGAGAATGAGATAGAAACAGAATGAGATAGATAGATAGATAGATAGATAGATAGATAGATAGATATATATATATCAACCTAACAAATAAATTCGATGCATAGAGGAATCTGCGATAGATAACAATACGTTACTTCCATTTTCCTCCCCACCAGTACTGATGATAACATTGCTGTTTTTACTACACATGTTCTTCATCATAACTATTAGGAGAATTGTTGTTATTGTTGTTATTGTTGTTCTAATCGTCAGGCTGGCGATCAAAAGTGTAGAAATCCTTTTATTGGACACTGAGTGGAATGCAATCAGTGCCATTGTTTTTGGTTTTCTATTATCCACCCCCCTCCTTTAATGAATATTCATGAATCATTTGTCCACAACAACCATGAACGATGGAAGCAATAATAGCCATAAAAAATGACGGGTCGAGTGGAAATCGAGTGAAATTTGATAAAAAAGTCAAAGTGCGCAAAACAAAGACGGAAAGCTAATAAAAGAGAGTAACAACAAACTGATAATAGATTAAGAAAGAAAGAAAGAAAGAAAGTGAGGAAAGAAAGAAAAAAGGAAAGAAAGCAAATAAAAGTGAGTAAAAAGGGTAAAGCCAAAGAAAGAAAGAAAGAAAGAAAAAAAGAAATAAATAAATAAATAAATAAATAAATAAAGAATGATTGAAAGGAAGAAAGAAATAAAGAAAGAAAGAAAGAATGATTGAAAGGAAGAAAGAAATAAAGAAAGAAAGAAAGAATGATTGAAAGGAAGAAAGAAATAAAGAAAGAAAGAAAGAATGATTGAAAGGAAGAAAGAAATAAAGAAAGAAAGAAAGAAAGAATGATTGAAAGGAAGAAAGAAATAAAGAAAGAAAGAAAAAAATTGAAAGGAAGAAAGAAAAAAGAAAAGAAAGAAAGAAAGAATGATTGAAAGGAAGAAAGAAAGAAAGAAAGAAAGAAAGAAAAAATGATTGAAAGGAAGAAAGAAAGAAAGAAAGAAAGAAAGAAAGAAAGAAAGAAAGAAAAAATGATTGAAAGGAAGAAAGAAAGAAAGAAAGAAAGAAAGAAAGAAAGAAAGAAAGAATGATTGAAAGGAAGAAAGAAATAAAGAAAGAAAGAAAGAATGATTGAAAGGAAGAAAGAAATAAATAAAGAAAGAAAGAATGATTGAAAGGAAGAAATAAATAAATAAATAAAGAAAGAATGATTGAAAGGAAGAAAGAAATAAAGAAAGAATGATTGAAAGGAAGAAAGAAAGAACGAAAGAAAGAACGATTGAAAGAACAAACGATTGAAAGATAGAACGAAAGAATGATTGAAAAAGAAAAAGAAAGAAAGAACGAAAGAAAGAAAAAGAAAGAAAGAAACAAGAAAATTGATAAAAGAAACTGAAAGATGACGGAACAATCACAAAAAACAAACGAAATATTAAAGTTGTAAATGACACATGTGAAAATAGATTTCCTTTTGTATGTGAAAAAAGAAAGAAGGAAAGAAAGTAAGAAAGAAAGAATAAGCATTTAATTGTGCTTGAAAGAAAGAAGGAAAGAAAGAAGAATTATATAAAAAAAGAAAGAAGGAAAGAATAAAATAATATTATACGGTAAGAAAGGAAGCAGTGATTAAAGGAAGGAGCAAAAGAAGAAATAAAGAAGCTAATAGATTAAGGAAGGAAGGAAGGACGAAAGGTTAAGAAATAAAACCAAAAATGTGGTTACAATAAGAAAGAAAAAAGGAAAGAGAGAAAGAAGGAAAAGATAATAGCGTGAGAAATATGGAAAGGAAGAAAAAAACACAAAAAGAATGAATGAATGAAAGAAAGAAAAACATGGACTAGTAATGGAATGGGGACAATAATGAAAAAGAGACTAAATTAAAAAAAAATAAAAAAAATAAACACAGAAAGCGAGTAAGAAAGAAAGAAGAGAGAAAGAGGTGATAAAAAGCAAAGAAGATAATAAATAGAGGAAGAAATGTAAAAGAAAGAAAAAAAGAAAAAAGACAGAAAGATGTGATAAAAACCAGAGAATATACTAAATGGAGGAAGAAAGAAAGAATAAAAAAAAAAGAAAGGAGGTGATAAAAAAACAAAAAAGATCGAAAACGAAGGAAAAAATAAAGAAAAGAAGAAGCAAAAAAAAAAAAAAGAGTAGGCAAGCTAAAAAGAAAGAAACTACCAATTTTTCTAAAACAAAAACAAACCAAAAAATATATCGAAAAAAACAGAACAAGCACTAAAAAGAAATAATTTTAAAAATTTAAAAGACGGGAAGGGCGGAAATAAAACGAAAGATGAAAATTAAAAAAAGAAAAGAAAGAAAAAAAGAATGAATGAATAAATGAAATAGATCCGGATAAATAAAAATGCGTTCTTTGATAGAGCAACGGAAAGTACCAAACGCCATGATCAATTGACAGACCACGGAGTGCTGCTCCTTTCGTTCAGCGAACATTGGGCCAATTCATTTCGTTGTGGAGCCATCGATTTTATCCGGTTTATGCACTTGTGGCGGCGCATGTGAAGCTTCTGCTTAATTCTTTGATATCCTCTTGTCTCGTCGGCCTTTCTCAGCTGCAAAATACGAGAGGATCGACAAAAGCGATCAAGCATGATAGGCAAAGTCAAGTCCGTTTTATTTTTCGTTATTTTACAATTCTTGTTGTATGTACCTCTCAACATGCTTTCTTTTACATCAACCATCACGCCTCTCCTATTTTCTATCAGCCAGAATGGGAGTCATATTATCACAAGTAATTGTCGGGTATTAGTAGGAATGCGCGTGAATACATTTCGGGAGTGTCGACAAGAACACGATTACTAAGTTTGAAAGATTTAAAAAAAAAAAAAAAAACGAACTTTTTTTGAATTTCTGGGATGAGAAGTTATTATTTAGATTATTGGCATTCGCAATAATGGTCTGCGCTTTCTGATCAGTATCATTCGTTGGAAACGGAAGACGTAACAATTTGAGTAGCATCAAACACCAAAAAAAAATAACTAGAGCATCTACACGGTTGTATAAATAGGCAAGCAACAAGAGATTATTACATTAGCTTGATATGTAGTGATTGATGCCGGGGAATACAAGAAAGTCAAGTACGATTGATTCTAGTTAGCTGAATACGGCAGATGCAACAACTCGTCCTGCCTCGTGCTGAGAATGTAAATGCTAAAGCAATTGAAAAACCCCATGACGGTTCGAATTTGCTCGAAGAAGAAGAAGAAAAGGGGAGGTGTCGAGAGAAGTAGAGGAGTAGAGTGAAGGATGAGGATATGAGAGAATGTGGAGAAGAAGAAGAAGAAGAAGAGATGGAGGAAAAGAAAAACAACATTAAAAAGCAGAAAGAAAGGGTGGAGGAAGAGAAGACGAGGAAAAGAAGAGGATGAAGAACAAATATCCCTTCTCATAGACAAAAGAAAGAGAATATTGTAACCATTTAGATGAAAAATGTGTAAAAAGAAGAAGAAGAGGAAGAAGAAGAAGAAGTATATCTAGTCATAAAAGAATGAGAACAATCTAACCATTTAGATGAAATAAAAGATTCGGGTCCAAATTCCCTGAAGTTTCCCCGAGTGGACAGAAATCTGAAGAAGACCGGAGAGCACGACGATCGAAACGTTGTGATAATGACAACAAAAATTATGACATTAATCCAGGTGTAACTAATGTAAATAATCCTTTCTCCATATTGTCTGCACGCTTTATCGTCCGTATTTGTGTTGTAATCTTCTCAGTAGTAATGGTCAGCTAGACTAACTCGTTGGACACTAGCTGACGTTCCTGATTAAACTATTATGAGGCTCCTGCTGATGATCGAATTCATTGCTCACTGTAATTTGTGCGCATGCGTGTGCTAGCTCTGAATGCAGCCGTCTAAAACGTAAACTATCCGATCTTTTATCTAATATAAAAATGTTTTCTTTTCCAGCTGATGTATTGACATTATTAAATTTTGTTAGTTTTTAAGCTAATGTATGCTTACATGAAATATTTTTCTTTTTTACTTGATATCCGTTCCACACAATCTAGTGTGGGGGGGGACCTCTTACATATAAGTTGGATTTTGACTTCAGACGGAGCTCACCAAAAGGATTCGCGTATCAGCTTTTGGCCCAAAAGTCAAGCTCTGAATTGGCCCGTCTAAAATGTAAGCTATTCGATCTTTTTAAAAGTTTCAGCTAGTGTACCATTATTGAATTTTTGTTTGTTTTAATAATTTATGCATATATATATATAATTTAAATAAAAAAACAGACCACTTTAAGGTTCCATGTAATAAATTATTTCACTACAGCCCTTTTAAAAGGAAGTTTGAAAGTAAAGTTTGATGATCCGCAGTCCTTTTAAAAGGGCTGTGGTGAAATAATTTATTATATGGAACCTTAAAGTGGTTTGTTTTTATTTAAATTATTTGCTCTGGATTTACATTGAACTCTCTGGATTTTATCCTCCTTAGGTTTACCCATACGGATTATCTAGTTTTTCTTAAACTAAATATATATATATATACTAAATATATATATATATACAAACTCACATCTATCCAACCAAATATATATATATATATATATATATATATATATATATATATATATAGAGAGAGAGAGAGAGAAAAAGTACAATAATATAAATAATATATAAATGAGATCAATTTATAAAATATATATATATATATATATATATATATATATATATACAGAGAGAGAGAGAGAGACTAGGTTGTATGAATATCTTAATGGCTGGATTCATTGCAGTCCAGATCATAAGCATCTAAACCAATTAACGTCAAATATTTCGAACATGTTCTTCAGTCTTCCTTGTTTGTATTACATCCGTTAAGCACTAAGGACTGTACAAAACGTTTTCCCTTTCCTCAAATGAAATATAATTTTAGGATGACAAGTTACGGGCTCCCGTGAGTAAACCTCGGGCTTGTATCGGAAAGAAAAAAAAATCTCCGAATATATGTAACACAAAACGTAGTAGAATGAAATCTTTGATATCGAAGACATTAATGGAAAAATATTGTTCTCAAATTGGTTAGATAAGATAGTGTCATCAGAATCAGAGATCTGATAATGACATTGAAAACGGATTATGGTAAAAAAAAAATGGCTGAAAATAAGCATTAATATAATTTCGAATCAAAGACATAGATAGAGAAAATTATAATGCTATGTTCCATCACATACACGATTTTCTTAAAATGTCATATCCTTTCAAGAGGTAGATTATATCGACACTCCATAGCTTCTTTTCTTTTATACTTGTTAATTACCATAAATTTCCTCAGAAATACAGACACGGGAGTAGATACGTACCCTATCAAGGGGTTAACACTTCTTCTTGGCCTTTTGAAGTGCAACCCTCGCCCTTACATCTTAGAGTCATGATTGTCTTGCATTGGGCGAATTGATTACAATAAATGTACAGATGTTCTCTAGTTATTTCAAACAAAAATAGTCCAGGGATTTGTATTTTGTATGGATTTCTTTGATTTTTGATTACCGCTTGGATGCAGAGAGACTTGCTGAATAAAAGTTATCTATCGAGATTTCTTTTGGGCAGTCTTCGTTCATATGTTCTCTCGCTGGTTCCGTAGTTGAGGTTTGTTTATCTGCAGCTTTACGTTTGGCAATTTCCAATAAATTTTCATTTGATTCAGATCATTGTCTCATTGATTCGCTACAATAAAAATTTCTGAACTACCATCGACCTCTGGCATAGAACACAGCCATGCGTAAATATTACGTACTGACGAAAGCGTTTATACAGTTCATTTTTGATGCAGTATTCCCACATATCTTGCAACATTCATCGTTGTTTTTGCTCGTCGAGTTCCAGATTTAGACATGGCGCCCCAAATCCCCTGGATTGGTGGGTGCTTCATAATATGAATTGCATACATTTCATCTAATGTTATACCAGGAATCTTGAAATGTTTCATTTACGTATAACGAATTGTTGCAGAGCACATTGATCTAATAATATAATTTTGCTCTCGTCTTCAACTGTCCAGGTTTCAGGTTACCAGACGCAGCTAGCCGGAGTTTACGAAATCGATTTAAATGATTTGAAACTAAACCTACACCATAGACGATGTGATTCCAAAATTTGTTCGTCCTGGGTATGACGATAAACTACATCTGTGTCCAGGGTAAGACGATAAACTACGTCCAGTAGCAAGGTCTCTGATCAGGAGGTTTTGAGGAGCGTGGAACCAACTCTTAATTGCTGGTGTTTCCAGGTCCACCCTGACCCGGGCTAGAAACACCTGTTAGGGTCCCAGCTATGGGCAAATAGTTAACCCCTAAACTGGAGTAAAAACACTATGAAAGTGTAATAGGTTTTAATACTAGAAATACTTTGAAAAAAAAAGTATTACCAGCAGTAAATTTTTGAAGAAAAAAATATTACCAGAAATAGATTTTTGACAAAAAAACAAAAACAAAATATAACCAGCAATAAAAATTTTGTCGACAGTGAATAACCCATTGAGGATTGCCGTAAAATATGCC